TTTTTTTTTTTGAAGGATTTAGGGAACCAGGATTCTTCTCAATAGTTTGCCCAAAGAATTCCATCTAATTATACAGACATACTCTTGATACTTTTCCTATCATTCTTCAGGTGTCCAGTACAAATTACAACTAATTTAACAGATGAGGGGATAATGATTTACTTAAATCAGGATTAAGCAATCTTTTGATGGCTAGTAGTTACATTTAAAGTTTGGGGAAGCTGAGATCGAAGTAGATAGAGAAAATGCTAATGAGGCAAGGCTGCATAGTACCCATTTATGATAGAAACAGGATTATCAGTGGGTTTTACAGGATGGCCTTTTTGTTTTCATAGTTATGTTAAACTTTTAAGTCTTTCTTCTCACCTCCAAATTAGCAGAAACCATGGTGGTGCAGCTCAAGAGCTCCAGGAATGTAAAAAACTGGGAATCCGTGACCTAAGCCATTCCCTGCCTGGGTTAGATTTCATTGCAAAACCTCCAGCTTATTTTATCAAAAAATATGATAGCAACACCAGAATTGAAAACAGAAAAGCTTTAGAAGCTGTATACTAAACATGTCGCATAAGCCTTCAAGTAACATCTTTCCCAGAAAGTGACCTACTTCACAAAAACCAGCCGCTTCTGCTGATGATCAAACAACCCAAATCCATGGCTTGTACCAAAGGCCACAAGTTTCCATTCTGAATGAAGGGCCAGTGATGTGACGACTGCCGGGGGCTGACATTGGACCAAGACAAATGGCTGAAAGCCAGGCTCAAATTGGACAGGCCCATCCTTGGTTTTCAGGCGTTCATGGCCCTTCCACTTGTAGCCTTCTTGGTCCTGGAGAAAGTCCGCTTCTGCGTGATCAATCCCTTGTTCCGCTTCTTCATCATTCAGTTCCATGACAAGGACCTTCAGATAGAGATAGATTTCATTCAGAGCTGCCCTGTGAAACCTCAATACTGCAAATCCCACATTATTTGCACAAGCATTTAATCCAAAATATACACATTTCCTCCTCTGGGCTTTTACCGGTGCAAAACAATTCACCATTTCATTTGTTTTCAGCCTGTTTTGTTTTCATGTTCCTCTGTAGGGGCAGAGAATTCCAACCATCACATTTATTTTGGGATGTAATCCAACAAAAGGATGTTGCTTTAACATCCAAGGAGTCCAAATAAAATAGAAGCAAGGTGTAAGCCTTATCTGGTGGTAAAGTGACTACAGGTAGTCCTCAACTTAAATTTCTGTCGCTAAGTGAGCCATCTCTTAAATGAATTTTGCCATTTTACAACCTTTCCTTCCATAGTTGTTAAGTGAATCAGTGAAGATGTTCAGTTAATGACATAATTGTTAAGTGAATCTGGCTTCCTCATTGACTCTGCTTGTTAGAAGATCGCAAAAGGGGATCCCATGACCCTGAAACATTGCAACCATCATAAATATGAATCAGTGGCCAAGCATCTAAAGTTTGGTCATGCGACTATTATAAGAATGCTGCAACAGTGGTAAATGTGACAAATGGTCATAATTTCACTTTTTTCAGTGCCCTTGTAATGGTCACTAAATGAATTGCTGTAAGTTGAGGATTACCTGTCATTAAAATGTTTTTAATACAGGTAATCCTGTATTAAGCACGTGCAGCTTTTAGGGGAACCCTTACCATGCTATGACCAGTAAGAACAAGAAACTATTACCCAAAACAGCCACACTTTTGGGAAATTATGACTTGTAAGCACTTTGTGAAATGTCTAAGGTTGTATACCAGCAGTGCAACACAAGATTTTTACAGGTATAGATAGTGCTACTCCAGCAGCTTGTTGGTCTTCGCTTTATGACAGCCTTTTAAAAAAAACAGTAAAAGAAAAATCATTCATAAAATTACTTGAGCATGACAGGCTGCTACCTTCATGTTTATGGAGACTGGGCCAAGGGCTAACCATCAAAAAACACAGTTTGGACCCTCTAGTTTATGAAATATATTTCAATGAAAATCCAACAGAGACATTAAAAGCAAATCTGTATCTACAGGAGAAAAAAATAGAGGCATATATGATTTATATGTCATAACTGGCCTTCCCTGCTCGACTATATGGTGGGTGATACATCATTTAAACACCAAGTGCATTTAACTATATGCCTGCACTGGGCTGGTTAACTTTGGAAGCTTGCCAGTAAGCTTCTCGGTGCAATTCAAGGTGTTGGTTACAACCTATGAAGCCCTACGTGACATAAAGCCTAGTTGATGCATTCCGGATTTCTTTTTTAAAAAGGCTACCTATTGGTTACTTCATATTTTACTTGCCATCTCCTATGGCGTCTGCCCTAGTTGATCTCCTTTGGATTTCTTTGATTAAAAAATGCCATCTATTGGCATCGTGGAGGTGTGCCTCCACTCTCATGGTGCCTGCCCTCTGGAATGAGGTTCTCCAGAAAATTCTCATCCTGGTTGTGTTCTGGAGGACCTTAAAGGCTTGACTTTTCTTCCACATTTTGGGCTGGTCTGGATGGAGTCTCTGGTGGAGTGTGTGATATATGGGTTGCTAGTTGGATTCACCAACATGTTTCACGTTTTGGTACTTATTTTCTTTCGTTATTTTGGTTTTAAGAAAGGTCAACAGGTATGGAAGTGGTGGCAGGGGTGGTGGCAATGGAATGCAGAGAAGTCAAAAGGACGGAAATTTGGGGAAGACCAGTTGAAGGGTGAGGAGCTGAAGAGGAGTTGAGCAGGGCAGGGCAGGAGAAGTGTGAGGTCCTGACCTAACAATGGCATAGTCCTAGCCCAGGGGTCTGCAACCTTAAACACTCAAAGAGCCGTTTGGACCCGTTTCCCACAGAAAAGAAAACCCCGGGAGCCAATAATTTTAACAACCGATGTGACTGGGTGGGCGTGGCCAACTCGATGTCACTCAGTCCCACCCAGTCACCTCCTGCTCTGGAATATGGAGTGAGTCTCCATCCCCTGCCATCAACCTTACCTTCTCAGGCCAGGCGAGGAGTTATGGGGAGGGGAGGGGCCGGCCAGGGGTGGGATCAGCTGACAGAGAGCGCAGCAGAGGGTCCAAAGAGCCACACGTGGCTGCAGGGCTGCAGGTTGCAGATCCCTGTCCTAGCCAAATGAACTGCAACCAGGCTACCAGAACTCTTGTTGCTAAGCGATCCATTCATGTAATATTTCATCTAATAACTGCTTTGTTTAGTAATGAATATTCTGGTCATAAATGGGATCATTAAGTGAGGATTACCTGTAATTGTAGCTGTATTTGGGAACACAACATGTTAAGTAAATAGCAAGACTTGCATACTGCATGCAGAAGGATTGCTGAAGAGACATGGCTTGCTAGAGTTTGGAAATTATTTCTCCATTGTGCAGCAAAGAGACAGTTGTCTGAGAACCCACTTTTTAGCCAGAATTAGCACAAAAAGGACGCATATCCGAGTAAACTGGATTGCATCCAATTCCCCCAGCCCTGAAATTGTTAGGATAACAGAGACGATTTAACAGATCTGTCTAATTAAGGATAATTGTATATCAGTGTGAAAGCACAGGTCTCTAAGCTACAATAGCCCATACAAATCCCTTAGAGATATTGTTCCTATTAGTACCTGTCCTGCTGTCCCCGCTACAGCTAAATAGCCACTGTATTTGCATAAGAAGATCTTCTGGATCCCAAGTCTGGGGTCATCACTGTAAGGGTCAAAGGAGCCAACCTAATGCAGCAGAAAGAAGCAACAAATACCACCTGAGCACAAAAATACAGTATATAGTGCAAAAAGCACTTCTTTAGAAGTACATAATGCAGAACAAGCTTTGGCTTCAGCGGGTTAAGGCTGCTTACCTTGCGTAGTGGAGGCCACTCATCCTCTCCCAGCTGGTTCATATTGTCATTGAGATCTGCATCAGTGAGAAACACTTTCACTGTGCTCAGTTTATACAGGAGGCTTAGACACACACCAGATGCATTCCAGAAGCGCACTGTGCCATCCTCGTGCCTGTGCCCAAAGCAGAAAGGCAGGTTATACCAGAATCACTCCCTGATTTCTAAGCAAGAGAGATGCTGAATGACTGGCTGCTCTTTAATCAAGGCTAGCCTGGTGGAAGCATTTTAGTCAATACATACTAAATATTAATGGGGAAAAATAATCTGAATTTCCTCTTGCTATTCATGTAGGCTCACAAAACTTGCATTATGCAAAATTCCCTTTTCACACTGATCTCTCTCTCTCTCTCTGCATGCATCTCAAAGCAGTTTTGGCAAAATATTGTAGAGCAGCCTTTCCCTACTTAGTGTTCTCCAGATTTCAATTCCATAATCTCCAGTCAGCATGCTGGCTAGAAATCTGTGTCACTGCAGGTCAAGACTGCTTGGAGGTCATCAGACTGGGGAAGAATGTCATCAAGTGCATACTGAGCCTCTACTATATAGGCATATAGCCTAAACCTATACTGAGCTGATCTGCCTAGTGCAGAAAGAAGGAGAGCTGCCCAGAATATTTCTTGGTCACATCAGACTGCAGATGCTTGGCAGCAAGTCTTTTGAGGATGCTTGCCTGTTGCTCCTTGTTAGTTCACCAGGACACAGAAAAGTAGGGCAGCTATGTTCTATCCATATTTCTTTCCAATAGTTCTGAACTATATTAAAAAATATGTACCTGGAAAGGGACTTTTCTTTCCAATGAGTGTTCTAAAGTAGCTTCTCTTTCATTGCTCAACTTAGTAAATCAAATATATAAAAGAAATAAATTGCCGTAAACAATTTGAATGTTTGTCAGTCCACTTTGGGCTTACTAGTCTTGGGCTATCCTTCCCTACCATAGTTACAAGTCGGTCTAATCACTACATAGCTCTTAAATAATTGGTGCCTGGACTTATCAATCTTCCTCTCTCTAATTCCACTCCTCCTCTATTTTCATTTCTTAAATTGCAGCTACAAAATTCCTGAACCAACTGTAACTCTTGGTCGCCCTCCAGATTTTTGCAGGATATAGGAGAGCTATATAAACCACAACTATTTTTTAAAAAAAGAATGTGTTTTTAAAATGTTGGTATTACACAAGTGTATCTATACACACAGATACATATTCCATGCACCTGCATGTGAGATCAAACAGAAATTTTGTCCGGGAGTGGGTGGGTGTAAGGACTGATCTTTCCCCATTTTACTCCTTACAGCAGTACATCAGAAATGGATTTGTATCCTAATTGGTTAGGTGAGGTTTGGTGAAGAAGTATCCTATTCCAGAAACAGCAGCAATAATTATTCCAGAGCATCAATACCTTTTGGCTTTCAGGACTACCATATCCCAACTCCTGCATGCAAATAACTCTCTGTAACTTAACTGGCAAAGTATCGGGATATTTAAGTACAATCTTACCAGGAATTTGCACAAGAATCCTGAAAATCCTTTTACAATATTTTTGTCTCTTTTTGAAATTCCAGATAGAAAAGGCAGCTATATGAGACTACTTATTGTGCAGAGCATGCAGGATTAGATCACCTGTAGCATCCGAGCCCACTTGTTTACTTACAGTATATGTTAAAAAGTGGTTTTTAAAATGGAGTATTTGGAAAGCCAATTTAAAGCCTGTAATAACTAAACGGTCATTTCCAAAATGATTGGCACCTAATTTACTGCTGCAAAGGTTAGGGCCTTCATTTTCTTTTGCTTGCTTATTAAAGACTAAGCAGAGGGGGAATAAGGCAGTGATGAGTTACTGCTTCTACAGGAGTAAAGCCAAGGATGAATTTGCATGCTTATACCTACCCGGTAAGCAGTAAATCCCGCTGGGGAGGATCTGGAGCTTTGCTGATACCCCCATTAATTGGCCAGGGCTGGGAAGAGAGAAAAGAGAAATTGTGGGAGGAGAGTTCACAAACAGTGAAGGACAGTGTTGTCTTTACAGAATAAAAGACTTGGTAGCAGAAAGCAATTAAAATCCATTCATCACTTGTTTATCTGAATTGACTCTATACATGTATGACTGCATGCATTCATGTGCAATTTTTCCATGTGAGGAATGGTCTGGGGCTGAACACAAATCCCCCTTCCAGTTAAAAAATTCCACAGATGTATATCAATACATGTTCAGATTCTCCCTTCTCCTATGCTATACAAATATCTACATAACCGGGTTGCTGTAGGGACTGAGGAACATGGATATGACAGAGATCAGTAACAGCAGGGAGGGTTGGTTCACACAGCCCATTATGCGTCTTCCAGGTTGGCAGCAAATCTTAACTTTCACACTCTTAAGTGCTAATGAAATCTGGCCCAATTTCAGTTTTTTGGGCTCTGCCAATCGACAACATCTTTCCAAAATTTCAGAAAGATGCACTTCCCTGATTTGCTTGGAAATAATATCCTATAAATATGTAACTATACAATTCAGGAAGATTTAATATAATTACAGGATTCGGTTACTTTTAGGTAAAAAGGAAGATTAAGCTTCACTGCATGACATACAAGAGTGACATACAAAAAAAGCAAAGGGATCGCTACAGATAGTCATCGGTTTACAACCATTTAGTGACCATTTGAAGTTACAACAGCATTGAAAAAAGTGACTTATGACCATTTTTCACATTTACAACCATTGCAGCATCTCCATGGTCACATGATCAAAATTCAGCCGCTTGGCAAGAGACTCAGATTAATGACAGTTGCAGGATCTTGGGGCCACCTTTTGTGAGCTTCTGACAAGCAAAGTCAATGGGGAAGCCAGATTCACTTAACAATCATGTTACTAACCTAGCAACTACAGTAATTCACTTAGTAACTGTGACAAGAAAATGAGTCAAAACTCACTGAACAAATGTCTTGCTTAGGAATGGACATTTGGGGCTCAATTGTGATTGTAACTTGAGGACTACCTGTATTAGTGTTAGTGGGAAAACTAGCTTTTCTCATTATAACAAACTCTTGGATAGTTTTGTGGCTAAAATTATCCACTAATAATTTCATTAGTGAGCTATGTTATATTTTGGAGTCGATTTGAGTGAACTATGGAGAAGGCCAAATGAAGCACCTGTCTCTCACCCAATTAAAACAATTGTCCCTATTCCCAGGAATACAGCAGTGAGCCCCTCCTCCCGGCCAAAAATAATGCAGCTGTCTTAATGAGTAGCAAGTAAGTGCTGGACTCAAGCATCTACATCATATTAGGGCTAACAAAGAGTACTTTATCACCATGGCAGGGTTATTCACAATCACGAATTCATCTTATACTGTTATTTTTCCCCTCTAATGTCAATCAAGCAGGTTCTGTACAACTTATCAAATGGAACGGCTGCTGAGACTGCCATTTTCCCCTTTGCTCCTATATTTCCTTAGAAGCAGGAATACTTTTTACCTACAAAGTCTTATTTGTAGTCATTCAAAAATCCAGTATTAACCAAGGAAAAAAAAAACAATCACAATCTGCATCCACTTCAAATGCATCCCTATTTCAGTAGGGCATGCAAGTCATACCATATTAGAAAACTGAACATTCTGCTTGCTCCCAGCAGTGATGATCCTTTCCCACAATTTCAGAGGAATGTTGGAGACATGGTGAGAACATGTGATGGCCGAGCAGTGGAGAGATGCAAGATATGGGGGTTGGATAGATGGCCAGCCAGGAGACTTCAGATCTATTACTACTAGTTCTTCTTCTGCCAATACCACCATGGTGGAAGGGTCATCAAACTCTGTAGGAGACAGGATCATCTATAACCATCATTTCACAGAGGGGTGCACAAACTCAAAATTCTAGTTACAAGGTTTATCTATGTTAAAGATTCAGCAAGGATTGGAGTCTTTAATATTGAGTTAGGGGAATCTCACATTTTTATGTTGTAAGCCCCTGGGTGTCATTTTTTTTAAAATCTAGGAACATAGAAACACAACAAAGACTAAGAGATAAAAGTGAGTGTTTACATTTTTCCAAAACATTCCAAAGCAACATCAGACTGCACTTTTATGGAAGGGAACTTCATAGCCCTGGAGCCGCCACAAAAAAAGTCCATGGCATTTATAACTGAAGGCAACCCTCTGTCCAAGACAGCAGGTTTAAAAGGCTTTAACCAGAGGAATATAGTTCCCAGATAACTATGTAAAGAGGAAGTCATTTTTTCAAGGTAGAGGATTCCAAAACATTTAGGGATTTTAATGACATTTGACCCATAAAGCTATTGGGAACTGACATGGTTTAGTCAGAAGAGTGTTACATGCTCAGACTTGAATTCAGTTGACAACTTGGGCTGATTTTTCAAGGGCATCCACCCTTTCACCAAATGTATTAGACAATCCAGTCAGGTGGTACAAACCCATGGATCTTGGTAGCTCAATCAGATCTTTCCAGGAAGAGACATGCATAAATCATAACTAGAGCAAAAAAAAAAAAAAGAGTCCCCTCTGAAAGGTCGAGCTCTTTCCCAACCCACTAAACTCTTTCTTTTGTCTAAATTGAGTTTTAACCTGCAACACCTTATCTAGTCCATAATCTGGCCTCAGGGGGATCTTGAACTTAGGCTAATTCAAGTACTTAAAATGTACCAACTTGGCTAGTTACTCGTTATCTGGAGAATAAGAATTACATAATAGTTTTGACACTACTTCTACTGGAGAACTTTAATTTGCTTTTGGAAAAGAAAATGCAGGTAAATGAGCATTACATTTCAGTTAAAACATATACTATTAAAACTGAAAGAAGTAACACCGATTCTTCCCTAT